ACTGTGTTTTGTATTGGAAATCTCTTTGCTTATATACTGTTTTTACCGGAAAGTAATCCTTTGAATTTATTCGAGGAATATCCTTGGATCGCAAGGTCTTTTTAGCGTAACGAATTTAGAGGACGCGCTTTTTGGGAGGAAGATCGTGGGAACTCGAGGTCATCCCTCGTCCCACGAGATTCCTTCAGGATTATCGGTCTTTTGCCGATTCCTAGCAAATCTCATGTTTCCAAACACCCCTCATCTAAATTTTCAACACACGTTACTTCCAGAGATTGTTTGCTTGGAATCAATCCTGTTCTGAAATATAAAATGAAATTTGAAAGTACAGTATCTTCAAGTGCATTCAATCTTTTTCCTTATTACGCTCGTAGTTTCAAGCTTCCTTCTTACAAGAAATACAATACCGCAAAAATCGAAAGTTGTACACCCACTCATTTGACTTGTACGAAATCAAATTAATAAAATTCGAATTTTTAAAGTCCGGAACAATGTTGTTCATTGTTGAACATTTACTGTATATTCCAACTGACCCATATAATAAGTTCACTTGAGTAAAACTGTTTCCTGGAGAATGAAGACTCATTGCTGATTATCTGTCTGATGTATTTCGAAGGGATTAACAAAAAGCAAGAATTTCAATCCAGAGGATCCAGGGCCTTATAATCGAATGACGTCCAAAAGCCCCCCTGCCAAAAGCCGCCCCTTTGTGCAAAGCCGAGGGAATAAATGTATTCTCGTAACTATTTAGGGATTGGCTTTTGGTTGAGTACCCTCTAACCAAGAGAATGTATCTTTTTCATCCGCGCAGAATATTTTTTGCTTCTGTAAATTTGAAAATTCTAAAAAATTTCAATATTCACGGCTGCTATTGCGGATTAAAAAATCATGGAGAGACTTTGAGTGCATTCAAGAAAGTCATATTCATTGTACCAAATTTCATCGAATGTGGTGTGAAACCATGGCATACTTATACTTAATTGCAGCATTATAGTAAGTTAACTCTTTTTTATAGCCTTGAAATAATGTTTACGGAAATGTAAACGCACAAAATCCAAAGCCTGCTCGATTCGAAAGCTTCTGCGGCGAAAAAGAGAATCAGCATACGGTAAATTATTCGGTAGAATGGACCAGAAAATAATGGGCTCAAAATGGTCAAGCTAAAAAAATATCTTGAACTACGACGTGAGTTATGATCAAAACATGAACTGAATTTCTTCGTTTTTTAATTATTTATCATCTGAAATAATTCTACAGAACCATTCAAACGCTCAGAAATAAAATGGACCTCTATAAATAAGCTTGAAAAGTTTCTTCGTATATAGAAAAAAAAACGACACAGGCCAAAATATTTCAGCATCAAGATCCTTCTCTATAGTTTACCCCGGACGTCCTAAAAATTCATGAATTTTCTTGCGATTACCCGGTCAATTATATTTAGTCCTTGACAAAATTTTTCGAAAAGCGCAGAGCCGTAAGTGTTGCAATTTCTCACTTACCAGGCTCGCCCTTTGGTGAGATTTTCACAGCTTCCAGGGGACTTTCCTGGTCGTCACCGTGATGAAGGGATTCCTGGTACACGTGGTACACGTTAATCCCGCGATGATCCAGGGCATCCGAATAAGGGTCGTGTTGCGGTGGTGGGATTAAGGCATATGCGGGTCTATGATGCAAATCCGGTGGCGCCATTAATCCCGGGATCATCTCGGCGCTTTGTCGCGGCGACATGAGTCTAACGTCGACATTCAGCACATATTCTTTGTCCACGATGGATTTGCTCGACTCTGTTCCATCTCCTGGCTTGTATAAGGTCTGTAGACGCCGAAACTGAAAGACAAAAAGTGATTTTTCGTTTTATGGTCAATCCGCGAGTACTGTGATGAAAAACAAGCATCTTGAATAAGCACAAAAAATATCGGAGGAAGGGGGGGGGGGGGCCTTAAAATCATGACCAAGAAGAGGGAGCTTGGTAACAAAAGGGATTGCACAACGATTTATTATTTTTCCAAGGTAGTCTGGGATGAAAGGCGAGCTCATGAAATTCATTTTGTGATCTAAATAAAGCTGAAGCGGACCATAAACAAAACCATTCTATACAGTATGTTTTTCTGGATTTATTCCAGCTACCACTTTTAAAATATGAACGCATCTTGAAAAATAAAATAGTGCAGATACAATTTAAAACAATTACATCTAAATTTCTTTTTATCCTTTGTTTGATGCTGGTTTAAAGAGTCATACCAATATTTCGCTAGTATTTTTCTTTTGCCAAAGAATGATTTTTTTCAATTTATTGTTTCAGTTTGCGAGCTTCCTTTATTTATGCACAATTTTATGTAGAGAATTTCGTGGATTCCACCGGAGTTCAAATCAACAGGATGGAATGAAATATCATTTTCGCGCCACAGGATTTATTTTGTTTCATTCTTATGGATGTTCGAAGAGTTTGCGATTAACATCTGAAAATCCGATATTATTGAGTCTTTGAAGCATCTAAGTAGAACGCATTCATCAGAACTCGCAGAAGTACATCAAACCGGCGCTTAAAATGTCAAGATAAAACGGTACAGTGTGCTAGATAATTTTTTTTTCATTCAACAAGTGAAAAAAAAAATCTGCGGGTCAACATTCAACAGATCTGCTGGCATACGAGCATGTATATTCAACGGTGCGTGCGTTCATCTTACCCAGCAAGTACTGAAACACACGAAAAGCCGCATCATCTTAAAGAAAAATTGAATAGCTGCCCTTCATATTTCATTAGTGTAATCTGCATTGTCCATTAATTCCTAGCACCGTCTCGAAAATACTTCAGCTAGGGAATAATTTTTTTTTCCTTTTCTATTCTAGCATGGGAACTTCAGCATTAATAAATACTGTTACATGATCACCAAGGAAAAGAGGTTTGAAATGACATACTGAGTGACAGCGACATCTACCCACAGCATCTGAAGCGCTCATGCAGGATCTGTTCGATCAAAATCAGACCTGGGAGAGTTGGTCCTGCTGTGGACTGGGCAGAAATGGGACCCAGGACAATCCATCCCCGGGGGAAGAAGTAGGTCAACTGGAAAACTAGCTGGGCAAGTGGAGAGGGAGTGATGCATCAGTACAATATATGCGTGATTACCCAGGTATCCCAATAATTTTTTTTTTTTTCATGCAAAAATCATCAAAAGTTCATGCAAAAACAAGTTGAACTTTTCTGGCCAGTGCATTGCGTAAAAGGTTTGGAATAGGGTGATAATTTTTCGGTTAAAAAATAAAACCTGCTTGGATACCTGATGATATAATGTTTGAAAAATCTTTTTTGTGGTTTCAGGTTTGTGCACTGCAGACTCGATTCATTTCCATTCATGCAAATACAGTACTGACAATTGCGGCATCACTCCCTCTCCGGTTGCCCTGTCAATTGTCCAAGTGCCCCACCTTCCCCATTGCATTGGGGGTATGGTAACAGATTTTCACGGGTACCATTTCTATACTTTGTCCAGGGACGGGTCCAATTTTGTATAGGAGGACCAATTCTTGCAGAGCCCACCAGAATAATTTTTCATATGGGATCAAGTTCGCGCACTTGAAAGCGTATATCTTTCAATTTATATATCTATATATGGATATATTTGCTGTCCACGAACTTTAGTGCGCAATAAAAACGTGTGATCAAACCTCTTTGACTGGAAGTCGTGCAGGTGTCGGGAAAACAGTCCACGACACATGGGCTTGGCAGGACGGATCCATCATAAGTTCTTCATATCTGAAGAACACGTCGACGTCTTGCGGAAACATTTTTCCGAGGGTCACTTGCATCCCGCCTGATTCGTTCTTTCCACCGAGAATTATGCTGACTAAATTCGAAAAAGTCGCGGATGTTTTGGGTGATTCCTACACGAAACGGAATAAAATAATTATGAATGTGCTTGATTTTGTCGCAGCAATAAAATAAACCATGCAGTTTCACCTCGAAAAGAACTGCGATCACTGCCAGGTCCGTCATCGGCTGATGGATATCCCTGATGGAATACTTGTTGAGGGGAACTTTCTGATGAATCATGTGCATTTCCAAAGGAAACCTGTCCCAAAATTGAATTCTCAGCAAAAAATGTATGCTTAAAAAAAAGCATCCAGTTTTCCTCAAGCAATTATTTTGAAGTCGAGCGAGATTTACGGAATCATTCTTATTCCCTCACGTCCAAAATAACTTATTCTCTGATAACAAAAAAAAAAAGTTCATGCTGTATACTGATGAATCACGATAATGCCATGATAATTTACTACTGGAAAAGAGTTTTTCTCGCAATAAAAAGCCATTTCGATGAGGCGAAAAGCCACGACACCACTTAAAAGGTCGCTGATGAGTTATTCTTTAATAAAATGTAGGTACAGTTCACGCCATTTCTTTAGTTGCGCAGTTGTGCTCCAAAAGCGTTCCACATAATTTCTGACATTCTTTTTCGTTCCATTTGAGCCAATTGCTATTTTACGTGCTGTTCAGAATGAAAACAAATGCGAGATCCCTGGGAATATAGAGAATCCATGTGCGTGACTCAAGAGGGCAACAGAACATTGTCTACTCGTTATGGTTGATTGGAAGGTGACAGGATTACTTCCTAAAATAAGCCATTTTTTCTCTTTCTGAAGTCTTAAGGTGGATGTATAATGGATATTGACATACTTCTTGAGGATTCATTTTTTCTAAATAATACCTATAACAATGATCACATGTCTTCTCTCGGTATGTGAACTACTGTGACGATGAGTATACTGCCTAAGTGCCACGCTTGGATTTTTAATGGATTTTCTGACGTTGTAAAATTATGTTCCGTATCCTCGAAAGAACATTTTGGTGATGTCCTATACCTAGAAACATGTTATAATTTCTGCAAGACGTGCTTCATAGACACGCAGATCTTGTGAAGGTTGATCTTAGAATGTCAAACAGTGAACAGCAGGAGTTTTCCAAATTGTCAAGGATAAATTGTAAAAAAAATATCTCATGAAATAAACACGAACTTGCTTAGCAGTTATTTAAGAGATACTCGCTGAGAAACGTCGAAAGTTTTGAAACGTCTTCTCTTATTAATGACTCGGAATAATCCGTCTGCTGTTGTACATTTTTTATGTTGACAAAAAAAAAAAAGGTTACAAACCTTTCGCCAGCGAGAATGTGTCGGGAAGACAGGGTGTTTTTCCTGCCCCACACGATCCGCACTTCGCGAAGTTTGTATGACCCGAATAACTCGCCTCCAGACATAATCGGGGTTTGATCAGATTGGTCCTTGTCAAAAGGCATGATCAGCTTCACTGCAATGCGAATATCACGAGGTACACAGCATAAATGTCAAATGAAAATAAATTACGTCGTTGGTGTGCAAACAAATTGCAGCATCGTTCTCGTTAGACAAGCTTTGATGGAAATTCATTTTTCCACCTTGTAATCATTGAGACGAATTTTTTTCAGCAGATGAATTTATACGCAATCAAGGCCGAAATGCATGAAATTATTTGACAATGCCATTTTATGCTACTGTTTTTTGTGAAAAGGCTCTTTGATTCGCCGGAAAGTAAATTTCATTTATTTTTCGTATATTATGCATGGCTGCTGTAGCTTTACTAATTGAATGAAATTCATGAATAAAATAGTTGGGAAATGAAAACTTGGTCTTCATTATTTCGAAACATAAATTGATTACGGTACTAAAGAAAAAAAGCTGCATAAAGAAGTACACATTTCCAACTTGAGGTACACAGATGATGCTTCATTTTCGAGAGAAACTTTCCAGAATTGTTCAATTAAGGGGCAATTTTTCGTACCTTGAGATGGTTCCCGAATGATTTGAAAATCTCCCAAGGGCTTGAATAAGCCTTCCATGTCCAGTTCTTCATATTGCGGAAATGATCTAGCATTGTCAAAATCAATTTCGACTACGGGTCGACCTTCTTGCTGATCAGAATCCACGCATCTCGATGCAAAATCCGGATTTTCTGAAAAAAGAAATTAGACATGAAACTTACATGGTTTTCCTTAAAAAAAAAGGACCACCTTTTTATCTATTTCTTTCATGCATCAGGTTTATACTTTTCAATCTCCCATGCAACTTTTGGGACGATAACAGAAGTTTAATTTCCCTCCAAAAGATTTTAAAATGGACGCTGGCCACACCAGTTTCGCAATTTGCATTTTCACGAAAATCCGCCGGGTATCGTAATACAACTTCGTTTATTCATTATCGTCTGACCCAAATGTTGTAAACACAGCAGTGCAGCAAAAGTTGTAAAATCAATCTAAAGAAGAAAGCCGCGAATCCTAAATTCGTTCAGTTCCTCATGCTAAAGCAAACATCGAAGGCGAAAGGCACGATATTATTTTTATTTTCATTCACCGAAAGACAAGCCACTCAAATGCCATTGATCCACATCACTTATATACTGAGCAATGATGACGAATCACATCTCACTCATCTCCACATGGGTAAGCAGGGAAAAATACATTTTCATCACTCGAGAAATAATTCAATAGTGGATGAAATATCACCTCGTTAGTGACTGACAACCAGATAAAAATAAACACGAAAAAAAAGGATCACGAAGTCAAATTCTCTGTCCACGAACGCGATGACAAGGACTTTCACTTCTTCCCCGCGTTTCCTGATTTTTGTTGTTGTCTGAGAAGTTCCTCATTCATCATTTTGACGGTTTCACATTCAAAGTTGGAACAGAAGCCACGGAATTGCCGGTTTCAAATTCGTATTTGATTATTTTCACTGATTTTCATTCCCCGATGATTCAGAAATGTATACTGTATACAGTATAGTCTTACGTGGGGAAGGTCAACGTTCTTTCGCCATATTGTGAATTAGCAAAAAGCTTCCTCTTGTTTACGCATACTGCAACGAAATTTGCAATTAAAATGCCTCATTCGGCAGTAAAAAGCGTCGTAAAAAGCTGGACTCGGATACGAGTAAATATTACTTCATACCAAAGGTTATTAGACAGATATTTTCCATTAGGAAAATGTTAAAAATTAAGGTGAGGGTGATAAATATTTTACCGACTACCATGAAAAATGAAGAATGGGGATCGCGACTAACTTGAAAAGTTTCGCAATCAAGAATAGCATTTAACGTGTCTGAATTGCCAAGGAAAAATTGTTCGATTAAACTTTAGGGTTTATTTCTGAACTTCAAGCAAATTACTTAATCGCTGCAGTTTGATTCTGTACCGATTTGCACGTGAAAAAAGGCGTTGTTCTGAAAATCGATACAGTACTTAAATTTGATGCACATATACGAGGGATAAGTGTAGCACCTTCTTCAGTTACTCCCTTCTAAATAAATGCATATAAATTGGCCTTCGTCTGGCATGAAAATGCTAGATAAACTGATCGGTTATTTTGACTTCTCTTTCACGGCAGCCTAAATCATAATTTATTCAGATCTTCCCGGTTTTCAGACACACTTCGTGGTTTTTCACGCTGATGAACTGGCCAAAAATAAAGAAGAATCACACAGGCCCAAGGACATGAAAACACGCATAAGTTTTGGTTTTTTTTTAAAGAGTAAACCCTTCACGCAATTTGCCACCACACATTAAATTACTCTCATCCAATAATTTTTTGCTCCGATGAATAAAAAAAAAAAAAACTGTTCGCCCAAAAATTGAGCAAACTTTTGATTGCAAAAACATGCAGAAAACTTAACCGCTTACAGCAATGAGCTAAATTTGTAGAGGAGCAAAGAGGATACATCCGGAATCTTGGTTTAAAATTTTAAATTGACTATAGAAAGTTGGCCCGATAATTAAAATGAAGAAGGCAGATCGCACTGCAAATTAATTTTGTGCAACAGAATGCCGTGCCAATTCTTCAAGCATGTGCAAAAAAGTCTCGAAAATGAAGTAAGCATATCTTATGATTTCATATAGTGCAGTTGATGCATTTTTCCAACAAATTTTTTCTCATTGAACATTTGTAAAATCGTGCTAGCTGAAAACGGTGTTAAATTTTCGATGACGAGAATATAGAAAAATTCACATTTTCGAAAACAAAAGGCACTTCTCAATAAGCAAAAAGCCTATAACTATGAAAATATATTCTTCATCGAGCAGAACGGCAGGAATAATTTCAAAATCTTTTTCTCTCACTGGATAGCAATTAAAATCGAAAACCTGTTATTTTGTATAAGGTCAAGTGAATGCCGCGACTTTAGTTATTTATAGAAACTACGCATTCATAAAAGGAAAACGGAAACTGCACCAAATTACTGTACCTTCTGAGTAATGTCCAAGTATATACTATAATCCTTTGAAAAAATCAGCATTGAAAAAACTTCAATCATTTATCAAAAGATTTATTGTCGGGCATTTGTTCTTCCGGTACGTCTCCGGTCGCGCGGAAACCCGACATCTGGGCATTCATTGAACCGTGGCCAAATCCTCTCTGAACCGTTTTTTTTTTTTGTCTCATTCTTTGGGTAATAGGCATTCACTGATTGATGATTCACCGAAATCTCTAGTGATCGGAGGCTGTGTTGAGCCCTAATCGCCCACTGAAGCACAACATCAGCCTGGACGCCGGCCGACGACGAAATTGCATAATCGCCGAGTCCCATTTCCCCAGATTGCGAAATTGCACCATCCAACACCCCCCAGGGGAGGAAAGTTTCAGTCTTTTAATTCACAATCTTTTCTTTTTTTCACCTGGAGAAATATCAGCCCATCATTCCATTTCTTCTTGACTAAAAAGATTATGCAAGAATCAACATGCTGCTGCTTCTTATGCTCGGGGATGGAAGCGAACTTCGATTGTATTCCGTCTTCTTAATATATACGCGTTATATGTTGCGAATGCCGCGTTAATTGCCGAATTAAGGGGCTGGGCTGGGGTTCGAAACAAGTTTACAATGACCTCAATATGTAAGCTACAATTGCGGGAGATGAGTCTATTCTTAGTTTTGTTTTTCGCTGTCTCTTGCTCAACAACATCACTTAACAATAAATTACACAAGATCCTCGCTGTAGAACAGACAGAGGTGTGAATTATCCCAGTTGTGTGTGAAAAGATACTGTCCATGTCCGCCATTTGGACACTGTATGTGAGATTTTGTATTTTAAACAGACGAATCACATTTTAACTGAAAAATGGTATATTATAACTCATTTATCTAGTTGACATCAACCAAATTATTATGTGCCCTGCACGATATTTTGAAATACAAGAGCTGAAGTTGTGGAAAAGTCTGCATTCTCTATTCTAGACTCCGCATGATCTAGAGATGGATTCTATAAAAAAAACTAATCAAGGTATTTTTGACGCATGAGGCTGAAGTATCGATTGGAAAATTTGAGATAAATTTGGAACAATTGAATGTGTTTCACGTGGAAATTGTGATCTCAAGCTCACCATCATCTCTGTATCGAAAGAAATTGTTGCACAGAAATTAAATACACAGTAAAAATAAATGCATGATACGTTTCCCATTCAACGAAGCGCATTTTAGAGCCGTCAGTAAATTTTTACTCATGCTTTCCTCCAGATTTGTTTCGGAATCTTGGTCTATGACAAGTACGTACGTGGAATGGAGCAACAGTTGATTAAAAACTTTATCAGCATTGAAAAAACTTCAATCATTTATCAAAAGATTTATTGTCGGGCATTTGTTCTTCCGGTACGTCTCCGGTCGCGCGGAAACCCGACATCTGGGCATTCATTGAACCGTGGCCAAATCCTCTGAACCGTTTTTTTTTTTGTCTCATTCTTTGGGTAATAGGCATTCACTGATTGATGATTCACTGAAATCTCTAGTGATCGGAGGCTGTGTTGAGCCCTAATCGCCCACTGAAGCACAACATCAGCCTGGACGCCGGCCGACGACGAAATTGCATCATCGCCGAGTCCCATTTCCCCAGATTGCGAAATTGCACCATCCAACACCCCCCAGGGGAGGAAAGTTTCAGTCTTTTAATTCACAATCTTTTCTTTTTTTTCACCTGGAGAAATATCAGCCCATCATTCCAATTCTTCTTGACTAAAAAGATTATGCAAGAATCAACATGCTGCTGCTTCTCATGCTCGGGGATGGAAGCGAACTTCGATTGTATTCCGTCTTCTTAATATATACGCGTTATATGTTGCGAATGCCGCATTAATTGACGATTTAAGGGGCTGGGCTGGGGTTCGAAACAAGTTTACAATGACCTCAATATATAAGCTACAATTGCGGGAGATGAGTCTATTCTTAGTTTTGTTTTTCGCTGTCTCTTGCTCAACAACATCACTTGACACTGAATTACACAAGATCCTCGCTGTACGTAGAACAGACAACAGACAGAGGTGTGAATTATCTCAGTTAAGCGTGAAAAGATACTGTCCATGTTCGCCATTTGGACACCGTATTTTAGATTTTGCATTTTACCATTTTAAACAGACGAAACACATTTTAAATGAAAAATGGTATATTAAAACTCATTTATCTAGTTGACATCAACCAAATTATGTGTACACCGCACGATGTTTTGAAATACAAGAGCTGAAGCAGTGGAAAAGTCTACATTCTCTATTCCAGACTCAGTATGTTCTATAGATGGATTCTATAAAAAAAACTAATCAAGGTATTTTTGACGCATGAGGCTAAAGTATCGATTGGAAAATTTGAGATCTTGGATAATTGAATGTGTTTCGCGTGAAGATTGAGATACTCAAGCTCACCATAATCTTTGAATCGTTGCACATAAATTAAATCCACTGTAAAAAATAAATGCATGATACGTTCTCCATTCAACGAAGCGCATTTTAGAGCCGTCAGTAAATTTTTACTCATGCTTTCCTCCAGATTTGTTTCGGAATCTTGGTCTATGACAAGTACGTACGTGGAATGGAGCAACAGTTGATTAAAAACTTGATACTTTTATTTCTGTGACGATAAGTCGGATGGGAACAATCGAGTGGGTAGTCGCAATAAGAAATAAAAGCCTCGTTAATTCCTTTTGTTTATTTTTTTTCTCAGCAAAAGTAATAAAATCATTTCTTGTTCCGTGTTCTTATTTCTTTCTTTTATTTCCCAAATATGGATGAACTCACCTGTATCATCACCAGTGAGTGAAACGACGTGCTCGAGCGACGTGACGACTTCGACCCATGACGCGGTCATCAAAGCCAAGGTGACGAAAGCCTTGACCGCCGTCAACGAAAACATGTCGACAGCTGGTTTTGCGCTCAAGTTACACGCGATTTATCCCAATAAGTTGCTCGGAAATCGACTCTCAATATCCAATGGTAGGGTTGCTTATGGTTTTATGCAAATGCGATTACAACACACGGCCACTGAGTCAAACCGCGATCGTCTCTGAAAAGAGAAAAATAGCCATTTTGTCAAGCAAAGCAGAAAAAAACTATCACTCCGGCGAAACTAAAAAAAAAAACATAAGACTGTGAGGTGATAGGTTTTTTAAATGCGCGCAGAATACTTGCGAAATCAGAAAACAGGCACGAAGAAGTGAAGAGAATGAGGAGCTATACGGTTTATTGGGGGAAAAGCGAAAATATATCAACATAAAAAGCCTTATAACTGCACTGATGTGAAAAGTATATAAAAGCAACCAAGGCAAACGTAAATTTCATTTTCATTTTAGATATTCGTAGAAAAGATTTCTGGACTATCAGAGAGCAGTTTAAGAAATAACTTCAAGTTGACAAAGTCTTTTAATGGGAAACTTTGTTTCGTAGAACTACATAAATGTACAAGTGTGAGTTTCGTCTGGGTTTTACACATCCTTAAAAAATTACGGCAGTTGAAACGATTCTTCCTACTCGCAGTGATTCAGAAACACGTTTTTACACATTTTTCAAAATTCTTGCTGAAATTGTTTCGTTTTCGTACGATTAATAATAATGGTATACTATACTGGATTCCAATACGGTTTTTGTTATTGTTGAAGCAATTGTTAATCTTATTCAGAATCACATGCTTGGTTGGCAAGAATACACGCTTGGAAATGCAGTTTTTTGCCTTTGCCAGAATAGTTGCATCATCAACTGTGCTCATGAAGCAAGATACAAAATTAAAAATTACGCTACGAAGTCAACCGGAACGCTGAAATTGAGTCTTGCAAACAAATAATTGGCTTGCATTTCGGAACCGCGTTTTTAGAGGGCTTCCTATCTTTTAGCCTCATGGTTGACCGAACTCCTGGTAAAGTTTCGTGAATAATTCATAGCCCAAAAACCCTGGTTACCTAACGGAATATACGCGGTGAAGGAGCCGGGAAAAAAGCACCCGTTGATTGTCTCAAATGGGATCGGAATATGCATGAGGCGTGTGTTGAATATTGCATCGTCTCAACCAATCCGTTTTGAAGCGAGCTCCACTTACTTTAAAATCAGTTCGCTGATCTTAGGCAATCGCCAATTTTTCTAGGGTTAAAAAATTACGCCAGAAGCTTGATCAAGGAAATTTCGGGTGTCATAACAAATGCATAGTTCATACATTTTTTCTCATTTTTTATTACAGCAGTATCAAGGCTTTATTACTTTCAGATTATGATAAACCATTGCAAATAAAAATTGGATCTAAAATTCTACTGGAATCGCAACAGTGACGTTTCTAAGAAGGGGATGACTTATTGGGAATAAATGGCTGGAATTGTTTGCGCTTGCAATAATATTTAAAAAACCAGATGCTCCAATTTCTCATGTGAGTTTCACTTAACTATTATTGAAAATCCGTCATTTTCAATTGACACTTTACAGAGACTAATTTTTAAAGGAGACTTTTTCGTCAAGAATTTTTGAAAAGTTCGCGACGACATATTATGTCGAGAGGAATCATTTTTTTTTAAACAGAATCTTTTTGGGAGATTTGCAGATTTTTTTCAGGTCTATTCATTTTTGTAACGCGTAATAGTCACGTGTTTTTCTTCATACGGGTCTTTATTGCAGATCAAATATACGAGTATATAGTGCTGATTTTAGCGAAACTCAAGAGCTAAAGCCGAGGTTGAAATACGTGTAAATCCATGTGATTCCATAACAGTGCCAAATGAAATATGCAAAATATGAAATATGTTTTGAGGTTAATACGGTATTCTATGTTTTACTTCGACTGACGAAAGTACATGTTAGGCAATTATTTATTTATAAAATTATTTTTCGTCTTGTGTTAATCCAAGCTTGGGTAAGCGTTACTTGGTTCTATGCTTCATTGAAAATTCCATTACGCTTTTGAACATTTTTGTATTTGCAGCGAAGCCCCTGATATTTCTTAGCAAAGCCATTTTCTGCACTGCGGGGCACTGTTTAAAAAAAAATTCCGATCGAAAAAGCGCAGATTATTCGCGGAAGTTCATGATCAACGCACACCAGGAAGCGTTTCACAATTTTCAGCGTCGCTTTCCCAACATTTTCGTAAGGTCATGTCAGACACCGCTTCTGATTGCTGCTGGAACAAACAAGGCCCACTTCACAAAGCTTTCAGAGGATAAAAAAAATCTAGCCTGTTTTGAAAATTGAAAACAAAAAAGCCTCGCGTTGCCTGATTTTCCTTCCGGAACGCATAGACGAGTCATGCTCCTTTTGTTCCGGAAAAAAGAAGCTTGTGTCACCCAGCACAGGAAAAGACCGGAAGCGCAGGCGAAATTTTCACGGGCAAATTACACACGAAATACCAGTATATAACGTCACGCAAGTGCAGTATCCCATACTGGAAAAAGAAATACGTACAACTGATGACATTATCACTGTGTTCCCCAAAAGGAGCTTTTCGTCGTCTCGCGGATTGGCAGAGTTTCATAAAATTGTCACAGACCAGCAGAACATTTTTAAATGACTGCCATGGAGTTCTCCAACCGAAACTTTCATTGCACAAATTAAGTCAAGAACCAATGAAGCAGTGAATATCTTCAAAAATTTGAAAGCTGGGCTTCATGAAACAGTTTCTCAGAATGAATATTTAAAATTATTTATTTATTCAGCAAGTGAAAGTTTATCTGAAAAGATAATAGGAGAGAAACTATTATTTTATATTATATAATTTCAACAGACATGGTTTTTCTCGAAATTTCAGATTGAGATAAAAAACATTTTTTTAATAGTTGCCTTAAAAGCCTCCAACCAAAACTTGCAGTGCAAAAATCAAGTTAAGAATCAATTAAGCATCAATATGGTGAATTTTCTTTAAAAGATTGGAAATCTGGGCTCCAAGAAAGGCTTTCTCCAAATAAATAATTGAAATAATTTATTTTAGCAGGTGGAAAATCTGTTTCAAGCATTAGAAGGAAAAAATCCACTTTTTTATTTATCTTATTATACAATTTCAACTGAAATTGTCTTTCAGAAATTTCGTACGAAGATAACAAACTTCATTACTAAGCCTTATAAAGAACGTATTATGTTGAGAAAGTTCACCGCGGACCCTTCGAAAAAAAATTTGCAGACCACTGCAAATAGCCTGTTTATCACTCTGTACAAATCACGACGACAACCGCGATTTTGAACAAAAAAAATTAAATTTATCGTACCTTTGCCAATGCAGTACTTTGACTAATCCAAAGCCAGGGGATAACGGAAGAAGAAGACGAGACATGAGGTCGAGATGAAAAAGAAAAGAAAAAAAAAACACTGGGTAGAAAACGTAACCGGATATATTTTTGACAGACGCTTACACACGATGACGACATCAGCAGTAAAGCGGGGAACTTTCACCGAGAACATCGGACACGTAAGAAAGGTGAACCTCCACGCAACAAACGATCGCATCGTTGATTACTTTTCACTGACCGCCAGGAAGCGGGAGAAGGAAAAACGAAGGAAAGATCAAATAAACAAGTAAACTCCACTATATGCGAAACCTACGAACCGCAAAAAAAAAACAAAACAAAAAACAGCAGCGACGGCGACCTAAACAAAAAAAATGTTTGTATACTTGCTAGTGGAAAGCAAGTATATACAATAATAACTCCCCAGAAAATGGATTTCCTGCCTCGCACGACGATTATTTCCTCGCAAAACTTGATTTCTCCTTCGTATAACAGCTAGCCTGCATCCAAATTTGCGGTTGTGAATTATGCTTCCGGGAATATTTTTTGCTGTTGGTAAAGTACACGTTACAGATCGTGTACGGAGCATTTTTTTTCTTTTAGCTTCTGATGGTTGTTAGCCATTATTTTTGTAAATACCTCATCATTTTGAGCAAATAATGCTAATCGATTTTTCTCAAAATAATGGGCGGAAAAGATCATTGGAAAATCTGGTTGAAAGAATTGCACCCATTTTATTCATTTTAAAGTGACCCGATCGATGGATTTTTCGGAAATTTCTGTTTGAAATTGTTCGAAACTATAAAAATTAAGCGTAACATTAAAAAATATTACCATAACGAAAGTTTTGCAATCATGCAATCACCCGCTTTCAGAAGAGAATTTTCTTCTCTTTCGAAAGCGGGTGAGAATTGCAAAACGAATTTTCTTCACAGAAAAGCCCTGAGTCAACACCACTGAGTTTTAGAAATTTGATTCTGTTTTTTACAATGAGCAAACATTTTTTCTCCGGCTGATGAACGCGTTAATTTTCTGCGTTCCGCCAGGAACGAACGCATTTTTCCCCCGAGGTAAAACGTGTATTCATGAGGAAACATTGTAAAATTTCGCACGAAAGGCCAAAATTCAAAGCACCATAGCACTGAAAGTGATTTTCAAATCGTTGAAAACTTCACAACATTGAGCGCTGCGAGGTTCAGCAAGTTCAAATGCTAGACTATAAAAATACAATTTTGAAACCAATCTTTTTTCGAACCTGAAAAAAAAACACTTTACGTCACTGGCACAATTAACTCTTGCACTAATAAGAGCATCAGATTTCAGTTGAGAAAACGCGTTATTTATTTTAAAAGGAGTATACCAAGTTTATACTGTTTTTTGAGGAGTGAATCAACTTTCCTTCTCACATAATAATTTTTCTCGGCGCATTCTAAGCCACTACTTCGAATGAGAGATAAATTTTCCATCCACGGAAAAAGGCGTTACCATCCCCGATATTTTATTTTGCAACTTTACTGGGAACATTCTGGTTTGTTCAAATTCACGCACATCCACTTAGTTCGGAGAACGCATACAGAATGAAGCGTGAGATTCGAGCGCCGACGAGTACAACACGTTTCCTCGCGGGCCGACGACCGCCACTATAAAGCACAGCTTCAATTCTAAACTCACTCAGCAATGCCTATATACCAGGAAATCGGCCAAAAAAAAAAAAAAAAAAAAAAAACTCTCGGAAATAATCGCTCATTATCATCAGCAAATTATTGTATCCGGTGCGCCTAGTGACCGAGTTCTTGAGCATTTCATTCCGGCGTAAACAGAGCTAAACACGGTTTAATTTATTCTTCGCGATGATGACGCCCAAGAAATGAGTCCTAATTAAAAATGTTAATTTTAGTGCTGTTTAAAAATTAAGATCCGTGTATCATCCCACGTCTTTTTTTCCACAGCCTTCTTTCCTTGAATCTATGTACTGTGACTTTACGGGAAATCTTTTCGTAAACTGCTGTCAATAAGACCGATTGAAAAATTGAAGATTTTTTTTTTTGCTGAGAAGTCGAAAAAAACAAAAGATGCATTGTTCATTCCGTCGAGATTATACGTGAAACGTTCCTCTTTATTCATGTCAGGAAAAAGAAGGAACTGTATATTTTTTTTACCTGTGTAACTGACGTTGGATTGACTTGCTGAAGTGGAATACAGAACTCAATTACAGTACAGTACTTTCTAAATCCCGGGGCTTCATTGCGTTTCCGCATTGCAGTTCGTACTAAACAAACTTTTCTCGAGATCTCGTATCCTTGAATTGCCCCCAATTCCTCGGAAAATTGAATTTCACGCATTAGGCATGAAAAAATTCATTCCAAGCGAGAAGTGATTCATTTTTTTTCGAAATTTTCAAAAAATGTGGAACATGATGCTCTGAAAGTTCATGCTGTGCTGAACATTTCATTTTTCACCTGACAAAACGTTGTGGCGGGTTTCTGATTGAATAAATTCTTTCCAAATTAATCTAGGTACATTATCACCTGTTTTTCACATTTCCCAGTCATTTGTGCATCATTCTAGACCAAATAAATTCCGATTTTAACATCGTTTCCATTTCAATTATGCTATACTGCATTAGCACGGCCGCGAAAAAGACGCGCACAGTTCCTGAATATTTAGACGTCTGCGGGAAAATCTGGGGGGGGGGGGGGGAAATTTTAAGGCATTTCTTGATTTAGGAAAAGAAAAAAAACATGGGAAACTTGATTTTTCCAGAAAGTTGAGCAAGTGGGAGCTTTTTGCCTGGAGCAAACAGTGAAATTCGCGGAAACCACTGGCTTGGATCGAGCCCATCCATGAGCAAGGATTGCGTCAATGCCCATAGCCGTACTCTTTCCTCATTTCAGCTCGGCTTTTTTTTTTTTTACGAATTCACAGTACATCAAGGTGAAATGCCAAAAAACTTGGACGCGAAATTTTTATTCGGGCATATTTTGTTAATTATACACCCGCATTTGTCCATCAACGGTAACTTCGTTTGTTGTTTTAACTGTTAATGCTTTTGTAAAAGAAAGCTATTTTACAACTTGGAGATCATTTTATTCATAATATTATACTTTGATGTTTTTGAAAATTATTTAGCAAACCTTGGATCAAAGCTTGATTATTACGTGGAGCTGAGAGCTTCTGAATTATGGCCTCCATATGGTGCAAAAATATTATTTAGATTTCATATTGCTATTCTCTTTCAAAGCAGACAAAAAGTGTCAAAGAATCCCTTGGAAAAAGCAGGACTTCATCTTTTTTGTATCTCAACGACAACTTTGAAAAATTGACATCAAAGGGTTTCGAGTGCCAAAATATATTCCGAACGACAGTCTGCATGTTCAGCAGCCAAAAAAACTGCCTTTTTCGATCAACTATTTTTGTTGTTGAAAAGCGTTCGCAAAAAAAAAAAAAAAAAACTGAGTGAATAGTGTCGAAACCAAGCGTTTCGCAGGTCGAGGAAAAGAGAAGTCCCGCAAGCAATTTTGTACTGAAACCTCGTAATTCAGCGTGCTGGTGCAGCCAAAAGACGTAATTGCTTCCGAGTCGGCGATAATTCCTTCTGTCTCGCTGTTACGTCATCAGATTTTTTTCGGTCTTCCAGATGATATAAGAAGACTATTCCGTCTCTCTAATTTTCCTTCCGCAATTTTCTATCTGTGCTACGAAGGCGGGAGAAAAAAAAAGACAAAAGGTCATGGAATCAGTTCCGCTGTGGATCTGGCGAAAAATAAATTCGTTTTGTTTTATGTTAACTTCAGGTCTGTTCTCACAGTTCATGATTTTGAGTTTCAACTTTGATAAAAATAAATTCGCACTCAAGCCGGTTTTGATCAGTTTCTCGAACTGATGGGTTCATGGGTGCAGATGTATCCATATACAATATTTTTTCATCCTTCATTACATGATGTGTAAATCGAGATTTTAATTCATGCCGCATTGTTTTCTTGAGTCAAAATGAGGGGGAGAATGAATATTACAGCGTTTTCCATTTTTCCTCAAAAATGCACGGGTATACATTTTTACAAAGTTTTAAAAGTTTAGGCGTGCACAATACTTGATTCGCCGCGGAAGAAAATTTTTGAACCAATTTTATAAAAAAACTTGTTTTACTGTTTTGATAAAATCGCAAATTCAAATTTTCAGGCTCAATCAGAGCCTGAATTAAAATTTGAGTGCTGTTATTTTTGATATTATGCAGTATTAAGGTCACTAGAATTTGTTGCGGATATTACTTAGGGTCTCTTATTGGGGATAAAAATGTATTCAAAATACAGTTTTTGTCCGAAAAGCCTAGGTGGTCGTCTTACTCGAAGAAGAGTAGTATTCGAATAAATATAGGTGCATTTTTGACAGTATTTCCGAAAATTTCACTGGTTGAAAAACGAAGTTTGACCTTCCTACGTTTTTCTTGGGGCCCTTTCCGCCGATTGGAGGTGGAAGGTTGCGTTGATTTTCCAGTACAGACAGGTGTGACATCTATTGACTAAAAAGGAGGCAGCAGTTTCATTTCGCTTCTGTCGCCGTCAGGAGGTGCTACTTTTCTCCTCAGTCCTGCCATTATCCCTTACCGACTTTCCAATCACCGAGAGAATGAGTCCTCCCGTTTATTTTATTTTTATAGGAAAGGAAATTTCATGCCAGACACGCTGCTTTTTATTCAAAACTCTAATGCATTCTCTCAATCAATACACTCCAGAACACAAGCTGAATTCTTTTTTCGAAATTTCAATAGGATTAACAATGACACACAAACAATTTGGATCGGCAAATAGTGACTGGGATCCAGCGATTCCCTTTTGAGCCAGCAAAAAAAAAAAATCGAAAGAAGCGCGGAATTTTCTTGTTTCAGAAATCACGTCGGCGTCGCTTTGTTATTCGCAAGCAGAAGCATGTCAGGATTTGTGTACGAAAAGCTTTGAAACGGAGCCTGATCCATGCTGGCCAAAATGTCCTTGTCAACCACTGTCAAATGCGGTCGCTCCATCGTGAAGTCAGTGTCAAAATAAGTGACGTCTGATCCAGATTTCTAGCAGAATGACACGAAGAATGAGAAGTGTTTCGAAATTGACCTTGATGCAAAAAATTTCTCGAAAAATATGTTATCTTTATACCAGCTTTGGTTGGAACGGAGGTTCCAGTTCTTTTTTCTCCAGTCGCTCCCAGTTGATTGGCCGGAAAAATGGCTGGTGTGCCATGTCTGCAGAAATTGAAGACGACGATGATGTACCCAGTCTACGTTCAGGATCTTTTTCCAGCAGCTGAAACATGCAAAATTATACCAGGCATCACAAATAAAGTAAAAATCATCTTAATTTTGAAAGACTTCGACATTCAACACCGCTGGGGCCCCGACACACGGACGAATTCCCCTAATTAACACTATAAAACTCAGAAAATTGATCAACATCTGAACATTGCCTCAAGGCATGAACACGTTGCCAAAACTTCCAGGAAATGAAATGATCCAATTTTTTAAACTTTTGCATATTTCAAACAAATTGAGTTATTGCTAAAGAAAAGTTCAAATAAGTGTGTTTTATGAGGGTACTCTATTTGATTTTCAGAAAGTGGCTAATTTTAAGAGCTTTTCCATCACCTGTGAAGATTCTTTTTCAATTCGAGGGCTTGGTTCTTGCTTTTTAAAATTACCCTGCCAAAAAGGAGAATTATTTGGGAGTTATTTTTACCTGCACAGTCACTTCTGGTATTTTGGAAGTCAAGAAAAACAAGTTTATCAAATTTCTTCGGAGGATTTTTTTTCAATTTTTTTCGGTCAAATACGAGTTGTGGTTGAAAATTTCTCATTAAAGCATGTGAGAATTTCCAATCACATATCCAAATGTTTCAACTCATCATGGACACAGTCCCAAAAGTGATTATGAACGCATTTAAGGGCTTTCCACCACCAGTCCTTCATTAAAAATTTCACACTACCGACAAAATATGAATCAGCGAAGTCGGAGTTATTTGCCAAACACCGATGTCGCAAACATACCTTGTAAATTTCACCAAGGAAGGTCATCAGAAATACAATTTGTATTTTGAGAATCAATCGTATATTTCCGAAAAGCGCGCAGACGTTATTTTCTTGAGATCTCTGAGAGTTACTTCCAGGATTTCCAATTGAAGCAGATAATAGTTTTGAAAAAACCTTCCGAGGTCGATTTCATCATAAAACAACTAGAAAATTCCAACCTCGAAAAAAATAGGGAACATTTTTTGTTCGTGCAGAAGGCGAATCTGTGCATAAGAACCGGGGGAAAAATGAGCTCATGAATAACAATGAAGCAAGGTTAGCTATTCTGCGACGTTGAAATATTCTAGACAAAATTTCGATGGTAAAAAATACTTCAAAAAATGAGGGCATTTTAAAATCCATCTAGAATTCAAGGCAGTGGGAATAAAATCATCTAAAAGTTTTGAATTTCAATCACGCATGCATGAATGGAATTTCAAATGTAAATCACTGGACAAATTTCGAACAAATTTTCTTTCTAGTTCGAGTATATATATCGACGACTCCAGTTTTATCTGAAAAGTTTAGGGAATATATTTTCATAGTAATCGAAGTATTAGAAAATATCATCTTCCATATGTGAACAGAAAGTCTTTCATTCGCCGGCAAAATCATACCTGCGCGTGTTCCATGATTAACATAAGTAATTCTCGGTCAGACTTGATTGAAAGAAGAATCATCCGAATTGAAAGAATCCATCGAAACATGGTGAATATTATTATTGGCACAAACACACATTCTTAAAACACGTATAACTAAGCTAGCCAATCAATGACACAGTTTACAGTAACACCGCCGTCAGAGTTCTCCCCTAATTTTTTTCGTAAATCCCGCGTTTTCTCCTTCAATAAATCAAGTTTTCTGTCGTGCATGAGCAAAGATTTAAGGAATTCAATTCCAATTCGTGTGCCTGAGCTGGATGAAGAATCACCTGAATTGAAAGAATTTTTCGAAACGTTGGGGAGAATTATTATTGGCACGCGCGAATATTTTTAAAATTACTTCTAAGCAAGCTGTCCGATCAATCACACACAGCCCAAGCTATTGACACCGCTCAAGTCCCTCCTCAAAAATTGAATTTAAACTCGGTTTTATTATTCGACGAATACAGTTTCCTGACCTGCATAAGCAGTGATTTGGCCTCTTTGGACAAGAAACGAGGATAATAAGGTTGCTCGTTGCATATGGACCAGAAGAGTTCGTCCTCGTCGCAGCCGTTGAACGGTGACTGACCCACAAGCATTTCGTAGCAGAGCACACCGAACGACCACCAATCCACACTGTGATTGTAATGTTGACCCCGAATGATCTCTGGTGCCAGGTAATCGGGGGTACCACAGAATGTAGACGTTTTGCCACCCCCGAGGCCGATTTTGCACATGCCCATGTCCGCGAGGCGCACGTGCCCACGATGGTCCAGCATCACGTTGTCCAATTTGAGATCCCTAAGAGTGATGATGTGAATAAAGATGAGAACAATTTGAATTTTCATATTTTGAATTATTACCAAGGGAGGAAAAATGCACCAGGAAAAAGGCTTATATAGTGAAACATGGTTCACACAATAATAAGAAAAAGACAAAGCCTCAGCTAAAATATGCGGTTCCTCGTCTTTTGCATAATCCCTGTGACACTTTTCCTTAACCTGCAAGATTGATTTTCCAGATAATTATAGAGAGGAAAATATGCTGCTTTTGCAAGAGAATAAATTTCCACGAGCTTCATTCTTCATAAATTATTATTTTCATTTTTCAATGAAGGCTGCAAATCTGTACCAACCTTTTTCATATTTAGGCCGCGGATACTGTAATTTAATTTGAAAATGATTTCACCCTACCGCAGCAAACAATCCGCATGGAAAATTAAAAAAATTCTCCGACTTCTGATATTTTTTTCATTTTTATCGATTTTTTTCCATTTGGGTAGAGTTTTTTTTAAACCCGAATAATCGCTGATATGCTTGAAGACTTTCTTAGAATAAATTTATGGATTATTAGTTGCGATCAAAGGTCATCCGAACTACAAGGTCAGCATGAAAGAAAGATTTAGAAAGAATACTGCAAAATCTTACACACGAGCATCTTGACCAAGTTGAGAATTTCTTGGTCATAGTTCCGTGACAGCGGCTCATCTGTTTTCTCAATTTTTCAACTTCGTCGTCTGTAGTGCATCAGAGTTCATGTTAATTACTTTTAAATTGCGAAAAACACTTTAAAAGCCCGTGAGCTGATAAAATTCGAGCCTCTTCTGCCAAGGACTTGATTTTTTCACACTCTTCTCTTAAGAAACAAAAATGCATGAAAGGATGCAGTATAATGCAGCTTCTCGCTTCTATTATTTTTGAAGGAAATTTCAATAGGATTTTTTTTTCACATTCTGGAACATAATAGTATAATAAAATTGACGACGAGGTTAGAATGAGAAAGAGCAGATGCTTTTTTCAAATGTGTTTCAGAAGCCAAGTTTTCCAAAAAGTTTAAAATAATAAAGGTAGAGGAATTTTGGATGATGAAGGATTTTCTAGAATGCAACGTTGACCACGACCGTGAACTATTTTCGAAGTTTTGATATGCTAATGAACACATGACCAATATTAGAAAAATTCACGACGGAATTTCGAAGTTATTTGGTTGCTTTTGAAGAATGCACTCTTTATCTCTATATTGAATAACCCAAGGTGGGCTTGAATAAACTAATTCTGATGACAACTTTTCTTCTTCTTCTTCTACTTTCTAAACATCAATTGAATATATTTTGCTTGTCCACCGTGTACGCTTGCAGAATAATTCAAACAGCGTAAACTCGCTTCAGACCGGATTATAACAGAGGAGAACATCAAGACAGACGAGTTTAAAGAATTTCTCTCATCAAACGAGTCCGGAAATTTTTTTTTTACGTCAAGTAAGTCCAAAGATTTTTTTGCTGTGCTTGCAAGAGTTGCGCAATACACGTGAAGGATGCGTTTCTTCATTTTTTAAAAATCATTACTTGAATATTTTGCCGGTCCATCGTGTACTTATGCAGAGCCATTTCGATATGACCAACTCGCGATACATCAGACCAGCAGTGAATAAAAGAGGAAATTAAGATGAAAAAGTGTATAAATCTCTCTTGTCAAGCGAGTTTGACATTTATTTTTTCGTGCAAAAACAGCAGAATTCTTTAGAAATGCCTCTCTTCTATTTTTTGTTAATTATCATCGTTTGAATTGTTTTCTTTTCCAACGTGTATACGTACACAGCATACAGAGGTACACATACAGAGCAGTTCCAATATGATAAACTACCTCCAGCACACCAGCAGTAAGAATATACACACGAGCAGGAAACCATTGACAAGCATTGAAGTTTATCTTGACATGAGTGTGTGAGCATTTTTTTCGGTGGAAAACCAGCAGAATACGTACTTGAGGAATGCTTTTCATATTATTTGGTAAAACATTAGTAAAAAATTTTGCTTGTCTACCATGTATATGTTATACAGATACACAGCATAGCAATCCTAATATGATAAACTCGCTCCAGTCCAGCAGCAGGAAATACTGCATACACACAAGAGCCGCAAATCAACGTATTGACAAGTATCGAAATTTATCTTGTCAATAGCAAGTGTGACAATATATTTTTGGTGCAAAAACAGCACAATACTTCAAGGATTCGTTTCTTCTTCTTCATTTTCCAAAGAATCGTCAGCTGAATACTCTGTTTGCCTACCATGCTGTCCGTACGAGGGTTGGTTAAAAAGTTTTGACACGTTTTGAAAAAATCCAACGGAGTTTCAAAAGTAAAAAAAAAATAATCCTACGCGCATAGCCCCATCATTTGACAACACTTCAGTGCTTTTCATCATACTCTGTCAATTTCAATGCACTTTTTCATGCAATAAATCCAATGATCAAATTGTGCTAAAATTCGAATTCTGTTACTTGATCTGGCACCCTGCGACATCTACCTGTATTCCTGACAGTGAAAAACTACCTCAAAAGAATTTATTTCGATGAAAGGGACATCCTCATTTTCACCGTCATAAATAGCAGCTTAAACAACTGCAGTAACGGAAAGTCGATTTTGGCACTATTTCGATTGTTCAAATTATGGCATGAATGGAAATCGGCAGAGAGCATGTTGAACAGCACTGAAGTGTTGCCAAATGATGAGGCTATGCAAGAAAAAAATTTTGGAATTGTTGAATCTCCTTTGGATCTATTTCAAAAAGTCTCAAAACTTGTGAACCAACCCTCTATTAGAGCTATTTCAATATGATAAACTCGGCTCCAGACCAGCAGCAGGGGAATACAGTACAGTACTATGTATACAGATAAGATTCGAGCCGCAAATCAAGATTGACAATATCGAAAATTTATCTCATGCGTGAGAGAAAAATTTTCTTTGTTGGCAGAAGAGCAGCAGAATACTTGAGGTATGAGTTTCTTCTTCTTAATTTTTAAAAGACTCATTACAGCTGAATATTCTGCTTGTCCACTGTAAATACGATTAAACACATTCAGAACAATCCCAAATGATGAACTTTCTCCAGAGTCCAGACCAGGGTTATTGGTAACTGCAATCAAAAATTTTATTGCACAATTGCAATTGCAGACCATCAAGAAAATTGTTCCTCAGTCAAAATCGCAATTGCAAGGGACTAATGTTTTGAATCCCTAACCACAATCACAAGGGATTTCTTGTATTATTGCTCAGCTACAATCACTGTTGGGAAAAACTTCGGCATGCCGACAATTCGGCGCCAGATTAATTTAAACGACAGTCTTTTCCGAAAATTTCTAACAGCTTCTGCTGGAGCCTGGGAACCAAACCCGAGTTTGATTCCCAGGCCCAGCAAGAACATCTTCTGAATAGATTTCTTAATCCGCGTCCTTCAGCAACTCTTTTCCTGTTCTCCAAATTCAGCATGATTTTCATCACTCGCATTCGAAGTGTGAACCTGAGCAGATCTCCGAGCAGAGAAGCTTTTTCATCTTGCAACAACTCCGAATTCCAAAATTCTGACCAAGTGTTTGTCGTCAAGAAAATACAACTCGTTAAACTAGGACTTTGTCCCACCTGATTCATTGAGCTCTCATTCATTAATTTAACACTTCACTCTCGCAAAAAGAACTTCAATTCATATCTTTAAATTCAATCACTTCTTTTTCTATTTTTACATCCATTCTATATCACCTTTTTCAGCTTTGTGAGTTTGTCTGTTTGACATCTCTTTTTCTCACACTTGATGAATAACAGCTCAATCAACTAAAGGAACTCAATTTTTGGCACCATTTTGATCATTGAACTTATTGCATGAAAAAATAATTGAAATTGGTGGTGAGTAAGTTTAAAAGCGGTGAAGTGAGTTGAACCAAATTATGGGGATGAAAGTAAACATTTTTTTGGAATTTTTGAAACTCCATTGGTTCTGGGTCCAAAAGTCTCAGATCATTGAACTTCAGTGTAGTAAATTATGAAACAACCCTTGTATACTCCAATGGATCTTGAGGAAGAATTTGGCATTATTTCAAGCAGGTTTAAGCATTTTGCAAATACATGGGGTTTCTGCTCTGAGGGAGTCTAGAACAGCTGTTTCCAACCTCAATTGCATTGCATTCAAAAAATAGTCTACATCTATTAGAATTTTGTTTCTGTTGTTTACTTTAAAAACTTTCAAAAATAATCTCCATTTTTAAGGTATTTTCTCAAGGGACACAGTATAAGTAAATGTGATTTGAAACCGTCTGTGATCCAAGAATAACCAATTGCGTAATCTGGGTCATTTTTAATTCCGAAATTTTCTATGGAACATGTTACGTTAATACAAGAATATTCAACACTGAAACAAGGCATCCCTGATTCAGCACTGAAACAAGGCATCCCTGATTCAAACACTCGTTGGAACATTCAATGTGCCACTCGAGAACAGTGTTTTCGATGAATCGGAAAAATGAACACACCGCCAACAGTACAGGGGCATTTGAATAATTTGCATATAATTTTTATGAGCTCAAATATGCGATGTGCACTAAAATTCAATTCAGTGTAGTACAACGTGTTTTATATACAGTATGTAAGTGTCTGCGATGCAAAGTGTCTCAACAACAACAGTGTCAGAAATTACTGTATCCTGAAATATTTAGAAAAGAGAATAAGGGGAATTTCAAGAGCAATCATGTTCAGAAATTGAACTGAGAAAAAAAATTGACTTTGTTTTCAAGTTGTATCTTCAAGTCAATAGAGTGAATCCTCTATAGGGATGAAGACTAATTTGGTTAGAAATGTTCCCCGAATAAAACAGGAGATATTCCCTATTGAAATATTCCTTTTTTCATCATTTCAAATCATAGAATGAACTAAATATGTAATATGGTGACCTCGGGTCAATTTTATCATATTTAAGTTATTTGTAAGCGCAGATTCCAGCAAATATAGAGGTGCAGTAGTAAACGAATACTCTGCCCTTGCCAATTTCACCCCTTATTCCAGATTTAGAGATGAAGGCTTATTCCTCAACTTAAAGTACGCTATATTCCAAGTCTTCTTAGAATTGATCAAAACATGTTTTTCTTTCCTTTGAGCGACTCTATATCCGTGCACATGAATGAAAAAAAGTTTAGAATTTTCACGCTTGGAGTAAATGCAAGAGAAATCGTGTCGAGCGGCGGCTTTTCAGTCATTATGACGGGTCAGTGATTTTTGTGCTCGGTGAACTGAACATTGAAATAATTGAACTAGTGTGAACAAATTTTGAAGCCATATTCAGTACTGAATTTTTATTTTTATTTTGTTCGCATTTTGTATTGTAGGTAGTTTCCTTTTTATTCTTCCTTGCTGAAAGCAACTTTTGGGATTGATCTTCGCGAGTTAAAATTACATTCAAATTTTTACAAGCACGCCAAGCTCTTCTTCGGCTACAAAATTTTTGAAAACAAAATATTGAAAGCTTCTATTGAAATAGCTGAGTACGCTTTACGTCAGATCCATCATATGCATCGAAGTATTAGGAAAGCTTGTTAAGAAAATTTTAGACGCTTTAATATCGTTCATCGGAAAGCATATAACTAGATATGCAGAAGCGAACATTGATCCAGTTCAACTTCTATGATATGCAATGCCATCATGATGTGATTTTTTCTGTATTTCTGGAGAAATGTACTACTTTTTGTGGCCTTAAACTATTGTGTAGTCGAACTAAATTTTAATTTTTGAAGAATTATTTAGCTTACAGATCACCTCATCAGTAGTCGAACTCAAACCCAAACTATTGTACAGTGGGTCCCCGACTTACGACGGGCCCATGTTACGTCGGTTTCAACTTACGACGCTTTTTTAAATATTAAAAAACCCCCAACTTACGTCGGAGTTTCATGATACGACAGCTTCTGAGGTTTTTCAGCTCCCTCCCACCAACCATTTTTTTGGCGCCATGCATGCTCCAAAGATTTTCCTGGGAGGAAGTGAGTTTTTTTTGTGCCAAGGTTCATTCCTAGCCAGATTAAACTGTTAATAGTGTGAGATGGTGCCATGCACAGGAAATAATTTGTCCTTAAGTTTGGAAATTGCTGTGTTCTGAGCATTTTTTAAATTTTGTGTGTGCTGCACAGTTCATTTCATTATTGCTGAATAATTGTGTATAGGAGGGATTTTGAATTTTGTGTGTTCTGTACTGTCCTGTGCACTTAATTATAGCTGAATAATTTTGTTTAGGAGGAATTTAAGTTTAGGAGGAATTAAAAAGTTGAAATATAAAGGTAATTTTAGTATAACATTTTTTTCTGGAACGAATTAATTTTTTTATAATGTAATCTTAAGGGAAATAGGGTTTCAACTGACAACGGCCCCATGTTATGACGTCCACCCTGGAACGGATTGATGATGTAAGATGGGGGCCCACTGTAATTGAATTTGTGTAAAGGACTCTTTGTCCAACAGACTTGTCCCTTGCACAAATCAAGTCCGTTAGATGGGGGTTGACTGTATGTCTGCATCTGTGGGTCTCACTGTAGTTTTCCAGACAGTAAACATTTGGCATGCATCCTAATTGGGGTATATAGGATTTTATCATGATATTGTATGTTGTCAAATTCATGTTTGTATTTTCCTCATACAGTATTCAAGAGGAAAAAGAGTCTTCCTCATGAGGGGTTCAGTTTTATCAAAATTTTCAGCTGTAAAACCCTCTGGTGTGAGGGTTTCACCCACGGGCATGTGGTGCTCAAGTGACAACATTTTTTTAAAATCTGTGTTCATAAAAAAAATGCATTGCAATTTTATTTAGCTGTGTTATCCATGAAAGAATGAAGAATTTGGATGAACATAAAATATATACAAGTTGATGAGCTTCTTCTCCTCCTACTGACCTCCACCAGAGGGCGCTTTCAGAAACAAAAAAAAGCCAATAATGAACCCATGAAAACATGTCATTTAAATTGTCAGCTGATGGAAACACCATAGTTGTGCATGCATCTTATACTCCAGTTTGAATGTGGTATTTTTTTTGCAGGCAAGTGCAGGCCAATGTACATCTGGATGATTGCAGTGAGCATCTTGCCGGCCTGGGCCCTCATGGTCTTCCTCTTCCCCCTGCTTCCTTACGTGGTGCTGGCCCTGCTCATTTCTGCCTTCTATGAAGCCGGGTACTACTTGATGCTGTATTGGAGCGGGAACCTGGCTGGGGTGGAACCCGTCACCATCAGGGGCACGTCACATGCGCACAAGACCTGTCACAAATGATGCTTTTTTTTTCTTACTCAAGTCTCTCTTTTTTTTCATTTGTTGCTCTTCTTTTTTTCCCGCATTTGTGCGGGTGCTGGAAAACATGTTTGGAATGCCGCGTCACACGTGTCGTCGTCGTCGTTGGGGGAGGGTATTTGACGAGGGTTGTTTCAAAAGTTTTGAGACTTTTTAAAAATATATAGATCCAATGTAGGGTCGATAAATTCCACAAAAAATAGTTTTTTTTTGCTGGCTTACCTCAGTCAATTGGCAACGCTGGAATACGGTTCAATGTGATCTTTGCAGAATTCAATGCAATTTTTTCATGCAATAATCAATTAAAATGTTGAAAATATTTGATTTCTGTTGGGTTAATGAAGGTGCTCTTTGAAGGCGGAAATGATGCTATTTATTATTTTTTTAAATTAATAACTTTCATGTCTTTCACTGTATCAGGAACAGCCAGAATAAGTCACAGGGTGCCTATAATCAGCTAACAGAAATCGAATTTTGGCACAGTTTTTGATTTTTTTTGCAGGAAAAAAAAAATGCATTGAAATCAGGGGAGAATATGTTGAACAGCATTAAAGTGTTGCCAAAAGATGGGGCTATGCAATTACTGTAAATAAATTTTTTTTTGAAATTGTTGAAGCTCAGTTGGATCTACTGTATTTTAAAAAGTCTCAAATCTCATAAAGTAGCCCTTGTATGTACAAGGGGTCTAACAAAAGTTCTTGGAATGCAGAAATTGAAACAGCTTAAATATTAAGCTGAAGAAAAAACAATTATTTTTCAGAAGGAAACATTTTTTGGCATGGGAAAGAAGGTGACAGTTTCTGACATGTTTTCCAGAAAGTATTAGCAAAATGTCACCCTTTTTGGCAACTTTCTGCTCTTCAAAATATGAGATGCCTATTTGCAGATTTTTTTGTGTACCCCAGCTTTCTCTTCGGAATTCTTGAAATTTGATTTGGTTTTGCTGCAATGCTAAGGGTTTCTGGCATTCAGTGATTATTATTCCCGCCATTTTAATTGACAGGTGCCGCTTTTTGGGATGAGAATGTTGCGGTTGTTGGTGAAAATGGCGGAATTATACCTTGGAAGACCATGGAGGAATTTAATGTCATGTCAAATTTCGAAAATTCTCAAAGAAACACTGGACCACACAAAACAGATGTGCTTTTTTCAAAAGCCCCTGACATTTGAAAAAAAAGAAAGGAAAAGAATGTTTTGATCAGGGCTGAATTTTTTTGTGGGTGTCCCAAAGAATAACTTTTCATAATAATCAAATGTTTTCAAGCTCAGTCATGTCACTCATGTGCCAGTGCAATTTTCAGTGAGACCCCCACATGCAGACACCTTGACATGAGGACAATTTGACATAGGGACATTTATTTTCCAATGAAAAAGGCCTGACAAACTAACACTGGCCTGACATGAGGACATGGCATGATACAATTGTCAATAAATTTCAGAAAATTTAACTTTTATTTGGCTTGATTGCAAGAAACAGGTATTTCCAACCCTAAGATTTATGCAAGAAACATTCTCCCATCATTTTTCCATCCATTCAGCTTATGAAAAAATTACCCATTGCTTATAGAGGGACTTCTTTCTCTATTTGTGACTTGAATTTTATTTTTGTAGATGCCAACATTTCAATGTACTGTAACAGAGGTACACTATTCAATGCTCCAAAATGTTCTTATTGAGTTGAAAATATATTCACTGAATCAAATTCAAGTGGCAAACAATTTTTTTCTCATGGAACTCTGAAGAATATTTCTTCCATGAAACACCCATTAAAAATTATACAGTTAGACCTCCACATGCAGACACCTTGACCTGCAGACAATTCAACATAGGGACACTTATTTTCCCAGAAAAAAATCAATAAATAAGGCCTGACATGAGGACACTGACTTGACATAGGGACATTTTGTGATAGAATTGCAAATACATTTCAGGCCAAATTACAAGACGCAGCTATTTCCAACCCTAAAATTGATGCAAAGAAAGTTCTTGGGCATTTCTCTCACCAAACTACCATCCATGTAGCTAATTAAAAAAAAATTACCTCCAGCATAGAGGGACTTGTACTTTTTTTTTCTCTTGAATCTTATTTTTGTAGATGCCAAAATTTCAGTGTACAGTACAGAGATACACTATTCAATGCTCCAAATATTCTTATTGAGTTGAAAATGTATTCACTAATTCAAATTCAAGAGGCAAAAATTTTTTTTCAGGGAATTCTGAAGAATATTTCTCCCACAAAACACCAATTGAAAATTATTTAATGTAAGTCTATGAGAAAACAAAGACTCAATTTAGCAACACTCTTGATGCACCAATTATGTCCACACGTGAGCTTCTCACTGTGCATTGTGAACTGATGAGATCTTTGGTGAAGCCCCTCGTGCTGTTGGGTTACAGAAACAGAGAGAGAGAGAGAGAGAGAGAGAGGCGCTCAAATTTTGACTCTTGTTTTTCCTTCCTCCCCGCACATCATCAGTACTCTTCCAACCATCATGATGAGGAGCAAGTTATTGTTGTGGCTGGTGTTGTGTGCAGCTGTTGGTGGTGTTGCTGCTGCTCTGGACATGAAGGCCCTGTTGGCCAAGACGACTGTGTGCTTTGAGAACCGGGCCGAGATTCATTGCGGCGACGAGGCGCCGAGGTTGCGGGCCCGGGACTGGATGTCCCGACTGGGCCAGGACGTGGAGTTGACGCGGATGGCTGTCCCGGGCACGCACCAGTCGGGCTCGCTGGTCGGCGGGTCCCTGGTGCAGTGCCAGGTCTGGAACATCACTGACCAGCTCCACGCTGGCATCCGGTAATTATTAATTATGTCCTCCTGTAATTGAGTGAGTCCTACAATAACATGTTAAGAATACCGCAGTCTCAATTTGAGGCTTTCATATTGGTATTTCTTCCTATTCTTTGGTTGGTAACAACATTATGTATTCCTATGATTATTGAGAGAGTCCTGTAACATGTTAAGAATACCCCAGTCTCAATTTGTGGCTTTCATGGGTGTACTGTACTGTATATCCCAATCTTTGGTTGGTAACACAAGGTATTTCATCCTATAATTGAGAGAGTACTGCAACATGTTAAGAATACCCTGTTCTTATTTGTGACTTTCACATGTGTATTTCCCAAACTCTGGTTGTTATATCAAAATTATGTCATCCTATACAGTAATTGAGAGAGTCCTGTAACATGTTCAGAATACCCCAGTCTCAATTTGTGGCTTTCATGGGTGTACTGTACTGTATATCCCAATCTCTGGTTGGAAACACAAGGTATTTCATCCTATAATCGAGAGAGTCCTGCAACATGTTAAGAATACCCTGTTCTTATTTGTGACTTTCATATGTGTATTTCCCAAACTCTGGTTGTTATGACAAAATTATGTCATCCTATACAGTAATTGAGAGAGTCCTGTAACATGTTAAGAATACCCCAGTCTCAATTTTTGACTTTAATGGGTGTATTCCCCAAATCTCTGGCTGGTAAAAAAATTATGTCATCCAATAATTAAGAGTCCTGTAGCATGTTAAGAACCCCCCTTTCTAATTTTGTGACTTTCATGCATGTACTGTACTTCCCAATGTCTGGTTGGTAACAACATTATGTCATCCTATAATTGAGAGACTCCTGTAAAATATTAAGAATACCCTGTTCTTATTTTGTGACTTTCATATGCGTATTTCCCAATCTCTGGTTGGTACAGGTGAACTTTGATAACTTGAACAGCCCTAATGTCAAATATACCCCCTAATTCAATTTTTTTGTCCCCATCTGAATTCCCTGTAGTCATATTAACAACCACAACACCCTTCACTTTCCGCACGACCCTTTTAAGCTAATGTATTTCCGCTATGCTTGGCTGCGCCTGGTGTGCGAGCAATTATATTTCACAATCCCGTTGTTGACAGAATACTTTCCCAACCTTGCTCACGCTTCTTTCCTTTGAATAAACAAAGTGTGACATCCCTGATCCTAATCTGTTCCTATGAGAGTTCTTTGACCTCGGCCGGCCAAAGCTATATATATGGGTGCATTTTATGTTGCATTAAGTTTACCGCACCAGACCCTATCCAAACGCTGAGTCTACGCTGCTTTGCTCTGTAGAATTGTTGTATTGACCGTGTGTGAAGGTATAATAAATTATACTTGAAAATACACTCTTGGAGTAACTTTTGCGTTTCCTTTGAAAGTCACATAAAATGATTTAAAACTCAGATCCCCTTTTCCTTCAGTTATTAAGAAGTAGCTCTCAACAACTGATCATCGTTGATCGCCCACTTCTGTAAAATAGTTTTTGGATAACACATTTTACACCCCTAATTCACCACCTTGTTGGGAAATTTTTGAGTACTCACCCCAATTTTTTGGTGTGAATTCTACCACACAATGGACGGCGAGGTGCCGGACACTCCACCCATTTCCAGTAGGCTGCGTGCTCTGTGCCAGCCTCTGCGGAGGCTTGGACCCCTCCCTCCAGGGCAAAGGCATCAGATCTTCAATAGCCCATTGAGCACTGGTAGCCGAAAAAGTGCGAACTCATGGTCCTTGCATTGCACACAATGTGCACCTCTTCCAGGAGTCGACCCTTGATCCCAGCAGACAGTGCCTCGTGGCACTGGCTCCATTGCAGCATCCAGTAGCAGCTCCTCAGCAACAATGGTGAGACAACCTGCTATTATAAAACATGTGCTCCAGATTGCAAATGCAGTCAGCAAGGTGGACCACATTCTGCGGACCCCGGAATGCGGAGATCCACAGCAACCTTTCCTGGACATTGTTCCTTGCTCCTTAGATGCTGCTGCGCATCTTATTGATTTACCTGAATTGGCGTTCACTCAACTGGAGATTGCCGCCCTCATGCCTCTGGCATCAAAAGATTGACACGTTACTTGTGCAATGTATGGATGTCCTGACTGGGGGTGGGCACATCTTTGCCCGACACAACCACGCGTCATGGGAGTTGCCTTTCCTGTGGCTCCTCCTGCACCTGCACAACCTGCAGCGCTGTTGGCACCCACTGCGCCCTGGCTGTCACCCATTACAGCACCAGTACCTGTTGTTCCATTGCACTGTCCAAGTACATTGCACGGAACAGGTTTGGTTTCCTCACAGCAAGCCATGGGACCAGTAGTTTCCATGCACCCTATGGCTCCATCTCTACTATATCCCCATGTTCCAGCAAGCTATGATCACTCCGAGTCCAGACCATTGTCCATCCTGCTTCTGCAGGGGCAACCATACAAGGCATATAATCATGCTCTTGCAATCTTTGGTACAGGGCAACCATTTAAATTGTTGCATCACAACCTTGTGAAGTCATACAAAAAGCAGGCTTGGGACACCTCCTTCAAAAAGGTTTGCTGGTCAAGCGTCCTCCAACTACCCGTTTGAATGGCTCTGGCATGATTTCTTGCCGGTGCACATTATACTGGTTGCGCAACTCACGGATACCAAGCATATTTGCTTGTTGCTGCTTCACCTAAACGATGAAGCAAAAGAAAACATTGGGGCGTTTGCCTACCAGGATATCAACATGGATTACTTGAGCATCATCCAGGTGCTCTTTTTGGAATATGGGCAGACGGATACAGCCCACCTGAAACTCTACCGCAAGTTTGACCACCTTCTGGCACCCAACACCCTGCTGGAATGCTTGATTACTTCCACAGCATAGACCAGATTGCGGAAAAGCTGAGCACAATTCAGACATGAACTTTGTGCATCTTTGAATGGGTCCCGTCCTACGCGCACATTTGGAACGTGGCAACTACCTGGAAGTACTCCAGATGCACACGGATGACAATGCGCAGATGCTGGACCTTGATCCTGTCTAGGCAACTTGCCCTCATCAAAAATAGCGCTCCATTTGTGCATACTTTGCACACAAGCTCTGCATGACAGAAGCACCACCTGTTCTTCCTTTTCAGGGCAAAGCTGCATCAGCTGATGGTGCTGCTGCTCCCACAACATCTGCTGCAGCCCCTGCAGTGGCACCATCTGCCACAGCAGCAGCCACACTGGCTGTTGCGGCCAACACTAACCTTGCAAATGTGGCACTGTCCACTTCAAATGGGATTTGGCAGCAGCTGCAGAATCGGAACAATGACAATTGTAGTTGACTGTTTCGGAGAGGGCAATTGCAATCCTGTGGCCCCCCACGCAAGTGGCAGCGGTGTGGGCACTCCTCCAATCAGCACCAACGTCATTCTCTGCAAAGGTGGTCTGATAATTGCGGGCCTCCCCTCCAAGACAATGATTCACAATGTCTTCAGGATTGTAACTCCTGAGATGATCCCCAAGACCAACCCAATCAGATTACGTGTCTGTTCTGTTCTGGCAACCACACCACAGCGCCTCCTTTTGGTCCAGGGAAGGCAGCAGGCTGTTTGTTGTTGTCAGCTCTGCAGTAACTGCTTGTCCCGGGACCATTATCTGAATAATTGTATGTCACCTGGCCAGTGTTGCCATTGCCAACAGGCACATCACTTGACAACCTGCAACCGCAACCAGCAATGCACACCAGCTGAGGCTTAAGCAGTTGCCACACCAGCTGTACAACAGGCAGTGCCGGTTGCGCCTGCTGCTCCTGTAGCACTGACAGCTCCCACAGCACCAGCAGTGGCAGCTCCTGCTGCTGCTCAGGTTGGCATTGAACCTGCCGCCTGACAACCACCAGAGGCCAAGCACTGCTTTGTCCTGGTTGTTTCCACTACCTGGCCAGGGCCTACATGCGCCTTTATGGAGACAGCTGCCATCAAATTGGAGCTGGAAGGGCATATAGTGTATGCTCTCCTTGACTCTGGGCCCAGCTGATGCTCATCTCACAGGCCCTTGTCCAAAGACCTTCTCTGTCTGGCAACAGAGCCATGTCTGCCATACATCACTGGCAGCGTGGAACAGGCTAATCCCCTTACAGCTACAGAGGCTGTTTGCCTTACTTACAGGGGGGCTGTGCCCAACTCCCCCATATTTTACACCGTGCCCCTTGTCATACCTCACATCAAGCCATGGAAAGGGTGTAACCCCTGTGCTGTCCCCTGGTTGGAGAAATTTGACTTGGCAGACAGGCGTATTCTGATGGACACTGTGCTGACCTTCAATATTGTGCTTGGGGGCAATGATCTGGTACCCTTGTACAGGGATATCATGCCACTCATTTGCACTTGAGGGTTTCTTGGGGTGCCTACGCACCTGGAAATTGTTGCATGAGGAATGTGGGCAGCCCAACGGGCACAAGGACCGGTCCTTACACCCTGGGTATGCATGGTGCTTGAAGCCCCTAACCTGGTCTTGGATGGCAAACTCAACAGTCTCATCCTGCAATACAAGTACCAGGATCACATTGATATTTTGAGCAATCCATGGGAAGAGCAGTGTTCACAGGATGAGCAATTTCAGGCATACCTTTGCCAACTTGTTGTCAGTCCAGGGGAGCGAGTCATGGCACCCCTCCTCAAGACCTCATTATACCAGGATCAATGCAAACCAAACTTGCACACTGGGGCAGAGCAAAGTCAGTTGGTCATCAAACTCCTCTGGGCAGGTGACCCAATGGCTAAGGCCTACAAGGAATTTTTCACAAACTGGATTGACAATGGCATCATTATGCCCACTACCTTGGAAGAAATGAATCAATGAGGCATTGCATACACCAAGCTGCTGCATCCTGGAGTTGCCAACAAGCAAGTCAACACCCCATTGGGTCATCATGGCTGGCAAGGTGGCAGACCCCAGCAGCCTCTTGTGTAATCAATTGTTTATCCAAGGGGCAAACATCTTGCCTTGGCAATTTGGTCATCAAACATCACCAAAATCCTTTTGGGCTGGAGATTCACTGAGGACTTTGCTGTTGGCAACATACGCAAAGCATTCATCCAAGTTGAACTCACCCCCAAAGATCAGTGGGTATTGATAATCCTGGGGCCCCAACTGCAACCTGATGACAGTATTGTCCACAAGTTTTTTTGCTTCTTGCGCCTCCCATGGGGTATTAACTGCGTGCCGTTGATGTTGAACAAGGCAAGGCACTTTCTATATCACAAAGCAGTCACCTGCGGCATCATGCCTGCCACAGAGGAAGAGGAGCTCAATGCTACAACGTACGTGGATGACCTCCTGATCTCAGGGGACAATCCCTGAGCAGTGGAACTGAAGTTGCAGCATGCAACAGACACCCTTAAATGGGGAAGCTTTGACCTCACAAAAATTAAGACGTCTTACCCCCAGGGAGACACCCCAGTCAACACCAAACCCTACAAGGTCCTAGATGCTGTCTACACACTGCAAGCTGACACACTCAGCATTTGTACCATGTTGCTTGCAGCACTCCTCAAGTGCCCACAATTGCAGAAGCGGCAGATTGTTGGTGTCCAGGGGCGTCTTTTTGACCTTCCAGGGTTGATAATCCCCTTTAACACGACCATCAAGGCCCTTTGCCAATGCTTTGACAAAACACACCCCAAGGCCCCATGCGAATACCTCCTCACCAAGAAGGAGACAAAACCATGGCACAAGATAATCTGGCAGGTGCTCCAAGCAGCATCCATCAAGGTGCAACGCAAAGTTGCAAAATGCATCAAGGAGCCCGGCAGTATTCATGTGTTCTCCTATGCAAGCAGCATTGCCCTGGGCGTGGCCATCTACTTCACATCCAGGGGGGGCAAGCCGCAAATGCAGTTACTTTTGGGGCAAATCCCAAGTTATCCCCAAAGCCTGTTGACCTGAACCAGGCATTCCAAACCTTTTGGATAAACCTCCTTGAAGTGGCAGCAGCAGGCATGGCCACACAGATGATGCAGGCGTTAGCCCTCAAAGTGGACCTGCGGCAGCACACAGTCCACTACTGCACCAGGCACTAAGCAATCAAAAAGCAGCAAATTTTTATGCAATGCAATTCTTAACTAGTCCACTGTTCAGCAAGACTTACACCAAAAGTGTGCATGGAAAGACTACTCATATGACATACTAGAAAATTGGGAGTGAACCTGCTGAAATGCTCCACACCTTTCAGATTCCAAACCTAACCAAAGACATTTATTTCATTGAGGTAAGGTAAAGTTGATGGTCTAAAAATTTAACATGAAATTGTGGTCTATCAATTGGCCCACAAAAAAAAAGATACAGAGAGGAACGTTTATAACTTACGAAATAATGACAAAAATTCGGTTAACTGTTTACACAAATTCCAGATTTGGAAAATTCTCTCTACACCTGAAACCAAGATGGGACATCAGGTTACTCATGCTAAGACCGCACACCCCAATTACTCTTTCAAATTAAATTTGTATTCACGATTTCCTGACGAAAGTCCACGTAGACCACCAACATCCAGGAACTCCAGTACATCCTCAGCAAGGAAAACACTGGGTGGCACTACTACAGATAATTTAGCTGGTTAACACCATTTCCGAAAAAAAAAAACCTTCCTGTACATGCCTTGGAAGGAAACTCCGTAAAACAACAAGTTTTACGGGGAGCACTCAGGCACATTGGTACCAATCATATATCATAGGAACTATCCTAGATGGAGAGAAAATCAAGGGAGAAGGTGATTGACAGACTCCTCCTAGCTATGAGGTGCTTACAAAAAAAGACGGAGATCCGGCGTTTCGACTTTCAAAAATATGGAACGGTAATGAAGAAATTCCGTTGATTGAAAATGTCACTTGCTTCCAAAAACGCTAGAATTCCATTTGTGCAGGGTGCATCAAAAAATGGCACCAATTTTCAAATGTCAAACGGGTGCATCTCCTAAAACACAATGCAATAAAGTGAGACCCACACATGAGGACAATTTGACAAAAGGACACACCTATTTTTCAATGAAAAAATCATCAAGGCCCAACATATGGAAAGTGACTTGACATGAGGACATTGCATGATAGAATTGCCAATAAATTTTATGAACATTGACTTTTGTTAGGCATAATTGCAAGAAACAGAAATTTCACACCCTAAGATATATCCAAGAAAAAACTCCTTGGTACTTTTCCCATCACTTTCCCATCCATTCAGCTGATTTGAAAAAATTACCTATCGCACAGTGGGACTTCCTGCTCTCTTTGTAACTTGGATATTATTTTTACAGATGCCAACATTTCAATAAACTGTGCAGTGGTATACTGTTCAATACTCCAGAAGTTCTGATTAGAGTTGAAAAGATATTCACTAAGTCAAATTCTAGTGGTGAAAGAAATTTTTCATGGAATTCTGTCAAATATTTCTTCCATAAAACATCTATTGAAAATTGTGTGATGTATGTCTATGGGAAAACAACACTCAAATTTGGGACAACTCAACTTGGGGACACTCTTGATTCACCAATTATGTCCACATCTGGGGGTCTCACTGTACTGTACAAAGACAAACTACCAATCAGGACTCAAATGGAATTTTCCTTGGTGAAACTGACCTCTCCAGACACTTCTTGTTTCTTGCCGGTTAACATTCAAGGTACTGTGTTTAATTTAATTCAATTTACGCCTCATTTTTGATAGTCATGAATACAATCGGGAAAATTTTTGTCAGGGATAGAGATATTATATTCGTCATACGAATGGTGCGCATCTTTTGGGCAACCGATAGAATTTGAATTTAGCAAGCAAATACAGTAGATATAATGGAGTGCAAAACCACTCTCATTTCTGAAAACTTGCATCTCGTATCGGCCCAGTCACAACAGAACACACAAAAAAAGTTGGTATTGATAAGCAGAAGAAATCGTGCGAAACCCAGATGAGACTAACTTGAGGCAAGATTTTTGCACCTTTTCACCAGTCGATACTTATCACGCTCTCCTTCGGAACTACTTCCAATTTCACGCATGAGTCGAGAACTTTTGTGATCTGCGATTTTTTCCGCAGATTCCAGTCACCACACTGATTTCATAGTCGGTGTCCAACAGCGTCACATCTGCAGAACATGGCGGGGTTTTCGTTTTCTCCACAAGCACATTCAATTCTGGATAAAGAATCTGCTCCGACTTTCTCGGCTTTTTGATCGAACACAGCACATACGGAACCACTCTCAAGACATGGGCATGGGATGAGAAGGCAACGACTTCCTATTTTACAAGATTTCTGGAATTGAAAAAACCCATTTCAATTTTTTCGAGAAAGGCATCATGTACCTCGAACAATTGCTAATGAAGGCCACCGTTGAAGGCAAACTGCAGTCCCTTGGGTATTTCCAACAAAACGCATGTATTAATTTCATAATTTATGAAAGCAAGACTACAGGAATATAACGTATTGCAACTGCTGATTTCTTCAACAAAATTCAAAATTTCATACGCCACGCAGTTCGTGACTAGGTCACTTCAGCCCCACAATAGCACAAGAAGCCGCTCTCAATAATGCCTATTAGGAAACACTCTGTTAATGTATTATATAACTCATTGGCAGAACGAAAAACCAAACAAACACGCCAAAAACAAATAATTTTCAACAAAAATCACCCGCAGTTTGCGTCAAAATAAATTACTGTACATGATCAGCATCACGCCATTTCGAGGGTTTTGTCGCACTTTTCAAAATTTCTTCTCTTGTCATCCTCCGGAATTTTCCATGACCCACTGTTGGCCTCACTGAGAAACAAATCAAACCTGTGAACATGGAAAACATGGTAAATATCTCGCCAACTCTGGTGCGATTTCGGGGATTCATGTTGCCCGTATGGTGTATCCCACTTGTCACGGACCATCAAAGATCTAAAGCAAGTTCAGGAATATACGGACAAATCCGCCAGCAGCCAAAGCAGCGGCAGTTCATGATATAGGACACAATGGCCAGAATGGAGGTACTCATGGTCCAACTTCAATAAGCCAAGAAGCAAAGTAGGTAACCACCGATTGCCTGCGTCCAAAATTCTAATGATACACTAGACTCACCACAAATTCCATTCCTCCCTTCGATTCGAGAGTCTTCCTTTCAGCATTTGTCCCATTCAAGAAACCATCGTCAGATGAAACGCCAAGAGGATCGTTCTGAGATGACAAAACGCTCACTTTCTGTCCTACATGCTTTTCTCTCACTTCTGCTTGACTTCCTAGAACAAAAAGCGTTTGAAACTTTGTGAACACGTCGCAATAAAGCGTCTCACCTTGGTGATCGAAATCTTCACAACCCGAATGCGCACATCGCCAGCAGTGGACTCCGAATGCGGAAGACAATTTGTTGGTTACATCAGTTCCTCCAGCAAGATCGCAGATAACGTCCTTAACCAACCTGGAAAGAATCACAGACGGTCACGGTGCGAAAAACACAAAAGGTCTCTATTCTAATAGTTCATCATCTCAGACATCCAAGGAAGGAGAACTTCAAGGAAAGCAGGTTGAGCTTCTCAGTGGAAAACCACGAATGTATCCGCTTATTTTCATCACAGCAAACACGTTCTCGTAAAAGACAGTGAAGTACCTTCTTGTCTTAAATTGATGATCCCAAGAACGTTTAAGACCATGGAGACTTGTCGGCTGTTGCTTTGAAAACTACTGTCGTTGAACTTCGGACCAACCAACCGCTTCGTATCTGCGTACAACAATTCAACTCATATCATTCACAAAATCTAGACACTCAACCGTGAGCATGACAGAGTGATTTCTCAGACATCCAAGGAAGGGAAAGCTTCATTGAAAGCAGGTCTCGCTTCTCAGTGGAAAACCACGAATGTATCAACACGATTTTCATCACAGAAAAAGAGTTATCAGAAAAACAAAGATGCCAAACTTACCCATGACTCTGTTGCTTGGGTTCAAGGCAAAGTGCTTCATTGCTGCATCTGATTCAACCCAGTCAGTGGCCAAAAATGAGACACAGTGGTTGATGATTTCAACCTTCCCATGTTGGAACATGTCGCGGGAATACATCAGAGGGTTATTCCAAAATCAAAACAAACAACCGAGGCATTTACGCAAGAAACAATCGCAGCACCAAGATTCTAACCGCGAACACGTTGACAAGAAGCTGAAATGCAATCACAGTCAAACCACAACTAAGCCCCCAAATGATCATGAGGTTCTGGGTGCTTCTGAACTTGAACTATCTAGCCAGGCGCGCGGCCATTTTTCACTACTGCCGCCCTCTATCCTACAAAATTATTTCAACTCTGTCTTCTTTTCAACTGACAGGGCCACCAGGACTGTACTGTCATTTCCATAGGCTCATGCAACCCAAGGAAGTTTGAGAGTAGCCTTCAAGAGTTTCAAATAAGTAATTGTGAGTGACTACAAGTCAGTGCTTGCAGGGATATCAGGTGAGGGATAAGAAAAAATTTAGTAGATTAAAAAATTAAGCTAAAAAACCATGTTTTCAAAAAGCAAAAAATAACCTTACGTGGTGCGCATCTATTTCAATTGTATTTCACTTCTTCCCAACAATCTCCATGCGCACCATGTTTAAGGTTATTTTTTGCTTTTTGGAAATGTGGTTTTTTAGATTAATTTTTCAATCTACTAAATTTTTTTGTGCTTTTTAGTCTTACTTGAAAAACATGGTTTTTTAGATTAATTTTTTAATCTTCTATAATTATTTTATTCTTTTTAAAAAATATTCTTATAATTATTCTTTTCACAAAAGATTGCATTGTCATCAGTTGCTAAGCTATCCTGAAAGTTTCAGCTTGCTAGCTAGTCAGGAAGTGAGCAAAATTTGAGTTGCAAAATTTGATCCGGACAAACAAAGGGACAAGAAAGCAAGTTAATAGAATGTAGTTCTCTGCAGTTGTGGCCCAAACTAAGCACTAGAAAGTAGCTGTGATTGAATTATACTTGGTAAAAAAAAAAAGTATTCTCAATGATTAAAATATCAAGTTACTGGGTCACGAACTAGCGGTTGAATGCTTATGGAAATGATCGCAATTTTTCTTCTTCCTCAATGCACTGTGAAA